ACGGAGGGTGAATACCCGAGTAGGCCATCGTTGAAACTCTGGGACATTGCTCGGAACCACGTCGTTCATTTCCAAGCGGAGGTGGGCAATGGTCCTATCGCCCCGCCCCCCCTTCTACGCACCTACACATGGCATTTCAGAGAACCTTCAAAAGTACGTGGCTATTGATGTGTTCGGAACCGACGGGCGATTCAAGACGAAGAGAAACACAACGTGTCGTTGTTTTCTTCTATGGTGATTTCTCTAAGCGAGCAGGTCCGACAACAGGGTGACAACACAATGACGGCCCTTCGAACAGATTTCACCAGTACCGAGCGGTAGCGCAAAGCGGTTAACCGTCCTGACAGCATAATTGCGGCTGACAGTTTCGTGGGTGACGAATTAGTCAAGGCTTTGTCGGCAACGACACTGAACCAGACACGTCCAGTAACGGGACCTCTTGAAGCTCTCTCAACTTTCCAAGAAACAAAACTCTGCTCGGTCAGGGAGGCGCCCGCCCGAGGTCCGTGTTCTGAGTACTCATCTACCATCAAGACTACACGAAACTTGCTTCCGACCAGGTACACGCTTGGCAGTCAACATCAAACTCTATACGTGACGGGCTTACACAACATGCTGGGTTGCTGTGGTTTCGGCAGATTGGTTCTGACGCGTGCCTCGCTCTGTCGCTATTCATGTTCTCCATCCGAGAGGATATTCGGTGGAGGCGGGTATGCGGCTGCGAATACTGAATCAGATATGCTGATGCACACGAGTATGAGCGTGATCAATCCAGGCGTGTTCTCATATCATGCCCGCTTGACAATGGCAACCACGGAACCAAAGCGGACATGACGATGCTCGGGGCATCCATACACCGGAGATACAGTAGCACATATGCCGACAGTTGTGAAATGTCAATCCAAGCAAACGAAGGCCCAAACACGGACGCATCAGTCAGACCAACACGATGCCGTAGATACCGGACCTCTCACGACCTTCCAACGTCACCATTACCCTGCATTCACCGGGCTTGTAATCGTTGGGTGCTAACTTTTCCACATTCCTTGCAGTGAAACTCCGATTGCATCGAAGTTCGCTGCTGAATCTACCAAGTTCCAGTAGTTGCCTTTCACCCTAGATCCGCTTGTGTAAGTCTAGAGTACGAAATTTTCAACAAAATCTTCACCAGAGTTTCGACCTACTGTACTTGTTCTCTCCTTCCGTTGCGCCTTGCTGTGGGTTAGCTCTTCGCAACTGACCGTTGTATCGTGGCCGTGAAGAGTGTCAAGGAGGGGGGGAATAGAGCTTGTAACCGCAACAAGCAGGAGCGGCGGCAACTCCATTTCTGTGCCCAAAGCCTTCGGCGACTTACAGTGTGCACCATCGTAGCACCTGATTCCTCTGGACGCCAAATCCTTGTACTCGTCCAAGCCGTAGTATGTTCATCTTCGCAAAACAATTGTGGGAGACACGAGCGCTGGTACTGTTTGCAGCTACTCTTCGCGCATGTTTAAGGTGTACGTTATTGTCATCCTACTCGTCTGTCCGGACTTACAAGGGTTTCGTAACGCGGGAGTGAAGGAGTTCGCGGAACTACTAAAATGGTCGTCGGGCGTCGGTACATGAGTTTGCCCCCCTCCGGCAAAACATCTCACGCCTTGCCTTTTCAGTTCGATCTTGACGTTCGCCTGATGGTCGTGTAGACCCTTGAGCAACCTCCAATGCACGAGAGTATAGTCTAGTTCGCTACATTGTAGATATCCGGTGAGCCCAGACACTCGGGTTCATGATCCTGCCGGAAATCTTTTGTGTGGTGAAGAAGTCGTAGAATTTCCGCTGTGCCACATTGTTGTCCGCCTCCTTTTCAGCTAGGAATAGTAGTGTTCGCGTTCTCTTTGCGGTGGGTAGATGGCCACGGGGAGGGTGCGCCTGGTGACGACATCGAAGTGTGGTTCATGTGCGTCCACATCCAGGTCGCGATGAGATGACTGTACCGACAGGGCGCACTTCGTGCAGGAGCGGCGCTCGGGGTCACACTCATCTAGGGGAACCTCTCGGCAAAAAAAAGTATTGTCAATAGCTCGTTGTAACTCGTGATAGAGGGTTGAAGGACGACTTGTGNTGGCCGCGGGGAGGGTGCGCCTGGTGACGACATCGAAGTGTGGTTCATGTGCGTCCACATCCAGGTCGCGATGAGATGACTGTACCGACAGGGCGCACTTCGTGCAGGAGCGGCGCTCGGGGTCACAGCCTCAGCTAGGGGAACCTCTCGGCAAAAAAAAGTTTTGTCAATAGCTCGTTGTAACTCGTGATAGAGGGTTGAAGGACGACTTGTGAGGGGGGCGATATCCGAAACATTTTGAGCGTTTGAGGCCGAAACCTACGGGGTTTGAGATATACTACAGAGTATTGCCTTTACCAAGGACCACCTCGGTCTTGGAAGGCGGACCTTTGATAAGATGCTCGTGATAGGCTAACGATCGACAGCGGTAGTGCGTACTTGCATATGTGCATGTTTTCCCTGGGCATTCTCATAATGGAGAACCCTGGGGCAATAGCGGGTGGGGAAATCGGCGCACGTACGATCGGCAAAACAATATCCGTGTGACATTCCCTTGCAACCCTTGATACGTTCGGCATATTTGGGAATCGAACCAAATCACCCACGTTCGGCCCTCTCGACCATGAACAAACACCTTGTCTTTGTGGACGGATGGGGAAGGTCCTGGGTGATGTACAACAGAGATAGACGTTGTCAGAGCCTTACGCAAGTCGACGTCTGTATTGAGAACGCTATGTACGAGTACGCTATGACGACGCTGCTGTTAATTCCTGTTTTATACTGACTCCCTCGCATCCATCATCAGGAATCCTCAACATTTTGAATAGAACGGATTTCGCGGTTTTATTGAAAAACACAAAATACCTGGGTAACCGGTATTCAAATCCTTGCACCCGTTGATGGCTTGCCTGTATGATGCGAGTTGGATCTCACTCTCCACGAAGGAGTCTTCAAAAGATCCACCCAGTCTTTTGATTTGCAATATGTTTTGAATTTACCCTCGACTGAATATATGTCGGACCGCTTTGGCTGCAATGTACTAGTCCAAGCCATCGTGCCGTTGCGAGGGGACCTTCTTCAACAGCACCATAAGACTTCTTCGGTGTATCATACCTTGGAGTTCGACGCCGGTCTTGAATTCACAAAATCTCTTCACTTGGGAAGCCTCGAAAATGACCCTCAACATTGATTCTACATAGCACGATACCACCATCCAAACGCGTCCGGAGATTGCCTCCCGCCCCTGAGACGAACCGTCTTCACCCCATTCCTTCACCACGGAAGAGTGTTGCAGATGGAAGGAATTCCGTATTATGACTACCTTCGTAAGAAAGGGCTGGGGCGGACTCTCGATACAAGCATTGGACACACCTGAAAGGTTGTTGCCACTGAGATCCAGAGTAGTCACCCGGCCTGCACCATCCACAGTTACTCCGTGCCATTGTTGGAGAGGAGTAGATGTTCCCCAACCCGTCTTGTTTGTCCACGACGAGCCATTCGTGGCATTGAACAACTCCATGAGCGCACTGCGGTCCGTCGTGGCATTTGGCACTGGGCCAGGAAGAANACCCGGCCTGCACCATCCACAGTTACTCCGTGCCATTGTTGGAGAGGAGTAGATGTTCCCCAACCCGTCTTGTTTGTCCACGACGAGCCATTCGTGGCATTGAACAACTCCATGAGCGCACTGCGGTCCGTCGTGGCATTTGGCACTGGGCCAGGAAGAAGTGCTTTCCCGGACGATAGCAGAACTTGCACCATGGCCTCATGGCTGGTACAAGATTCGACATCCACACCCACCATGTCGGCCAAATGAAACAGGTCCCTCATGGTCTTCTGCTCCAGCATTGCGCCTACTACAGCGCCGGCCACCTTGGGATACATGCAGCGCAGCTCTGGTTCGGCCGAGCAAAGAGCACAAAAGGCTGGTAGGATCCGCTCGTCCAGGTTCGACAGAACGGATGCACTCTCTGGCGGGAGTACGAGAACACAGGACACGATGTTTAGGAGAAAGGACACCGTCTTCTTTCCATCGGCCGTGGAAGCGCAGGAGGGGTCGCTCCATGTAGGCGCGAAATGACTTACGACGTTCGCCAGCGTCCCGTTCACCGTGAAGTCCTTGGCTTCACTAGGACAGTCCACCTGGCATCAGCAGGTAGGCGGCACGAGGGCAATAGTTGTGCGTATCAGTACAAGAAAGAAAGTAGGAAAGCTCAAGGGATGCCGCCACAAACATGCCAAAGACAAGATGCAGCATTATTTCATCACAGTCCACCTCATTCGACCTGTGATTTGCAAATCGCTTGAGACCGAATCACCGTCAAACCAGTGCTATACTCATGCCGCGTCTTGCGCTTTCATGCGAGCCGCAAACCGAGGCCTCGATTTTCTCGTCCGACTTGCGACAATATTGCTTTGACGACCATGATAACGGTAAGGGAAGAACTCACCTTGCTCATATGGACATAGCCTGCTGACACAGCGATGACTGCTGCGTTCAGCTTCACATCCAGCGTGTGCCCCTGCACAAGAGCGGTCATGGCCTTGCTGTGCGCTGTCTCGAGAAAACGCACATTACCCTTGCTGGCCTCGAAGTTCTTGAGGGCCATTTGCGCCTCTTCCAGGGGAGCGTTCTGTGCATGACGGGCGCAGGCGACAGAGAAGTCAACCAGGGATACAAGCTTGCGGACTTCGTGATATTGGTGTTCAAATACTTCCACGGCACAGTCGTGTGACCTGCATGCCCCACCCCGAGGAAATGAGTAACAAATGATCCAAACATGTTGGCGGGGCTGATAAAAGGATCATCAACGCACGCAACATCAGCGTTGCTCGAATTCTTCTAAATTGTTCACAACAAGATCCAACGCCAACGATATCCGATGGACTGGGTGTTTTGGAACCACAGCAAATTGCTACCATGCTCGAGTCGCACGGCAGAACATGGGGACAGCAGCACTAGCAACGTACCAGGAACTGCTTATGTTCGCAGAACGCTTCAGCACGGACAATCGTGGTCAATGCGATAATACCCCTTGTCGGTGTAGCAAAGCATGCCACACAAACAGCACACGAGGGGCTCATTTTGGCCGCCCTACGGGGAACGTAAGCCGAACACGCGGATCGAGTTAGGAAACATCATTCTTCGTTGTGTCTATATCGTCGGCGTCATTCGTACTAACCACCTGTCCATGTAATCGAGCGGAGAAGAAACCGGCAAGTTCCGCCAACCGACTGGTGTGTGTCAGATTGCTAGTGAAAGCTGCCTCCTTCATCAGGTCACAACCAACGACATGAAAACAGGCCAGCACGGCGAAATATGACCCGAGTGAATCACCGCCTCACGGTAATGGAGTACCTACCCTCATTAATTCGATGCCCTGTCGAGCGGCTTCCAAGCCAGCCGTGAAACTTGCGAAGAACACCATGTTTTCGGCACGGCAGTCTTCAACGCTCTCACGCACGCTCGCCAAGTCACGCTTGACCTCGCGGACGTCCGCATGAATTCCCGTGGCTTCCGCCATGACCG